ATATATCCCATTATATCACAAACATATCATATATACATATCCCATTATTCACCCCCAAAGTGAATTCCTAGTATTTCATAGTTGTACAACTCTTACCCAAAGAGTTAAACTCTGGTGTGAGTTCTCTGATGCTGCATAAGGCCTGATCTATGCCTAAATGTTTTCTTACATTCACTACATTCATAAGGCTTTTCTCCAGTGTGGATTCTCTGGTGCTGGGTGAGGGCTGAGCTCTGATTGAAGGATTTTCCACATTCATTACATTCATAAGGTTTCTCTCCAGTGTGAATTCTTTGATGTTCAGTAAGGATAGAGCTTCTACCAAAAGCCTTACCACATTCAATACATTCATAGCCTTTGTCTCCAGTGTGAATTTTCTTATGCTGAATAAGGGCTGAGCTCCGGCTGAAAGCTCTCCCACATTCACCACATTCATAAGGTTTCTCTCCAGTGTGAATTCTCCGATGCCGGATGAGCTCTGAGCTGCCCCTGAAAGCTTTTCTACACTCACAACATTCGTAGGGTTTTTCACCACTATGAATTCTCTGATGTCTAACAAGGTCTGAGCTCAGACTAAAGGCTTTGCCACATTCTTTACATGCATAAGGTCTCTCTCCAGTATGAGTTCTCTGATGTCTAATCAGCTTTGAGCTCTGGCAAAAGGCTTTCCCACAGTCGAAGCACTCATAGAGCTTTCCCCCAGCGTGAATTCTCGGTTGTGTTATAACATTTGAGTTCAGACTGAGACTTCCTTCACCTTCATTACATTCCAGGACACTCTCTTCTGTGGAGATTTCCTTGTTGAAGCTTGTCAGGCTAAAATGTCTTTCCTGGGAAGGGAGCTGACTCATTTTGTCCCCTGAAGCACTTCCTTTTGGCTTCTCAAAATTGTCCAGACCTCCCAAAGCTTCTTCAACTACCTGTCCTGAAGGAGTTTCCCCAGGGAGTCGTCTTGAGGATATCATGGCTGCTGATGCCACACATTCAATAATTTCTTCCTTTGCTGTCAACAATTTGTCAGCCACCAGCTTGCCATCTAAAAATGTGAACAGAAAATGCAAGTGTCATTTGCTCCCCATGTTGGAAGAAAAGAACTTACTGTAGCAGAAACAGAAAATAAACCAAATGAAATAGGTATTTACCTATTAGAAGGAAAACTCTTAAAAACTAGCTTCCCAACCTAGAATTTAGAAAAGTGGCCTGTGGTAGGGAGAGTTGGCACCCTCAGAGAGTAATATAGACTAGAATGAGAGTCAGCATTGGAAAGGAGGGATGGTGAACAGGGCAAGAAATTAGTTAAAGGAGATAGTGATAAACAGGAGTAGCAGTGAGAGACCAGGAAGCTGGGAGACAATCTTGGGTTAGAGGAGAAGATGTGCTTTTAGGTAGCGAGGGAAAGGAAAAGAGGAGCTAAAGAGTAATTAGAATAAAGACAGATGTCTAAGAGTCTTGAATCAGCAGGGCTTCTACAAAAATAGGGGAGCAGGAGATACAATTAGGAAATGCTTTAGAGGTTAGAATTGGACAGAGGTAGGTGGTACAAAGGTAAATTGCAGATTCTGGCAGGTTCTAAGTTGATCAAATGATTATAAGCAAATAGAATAAGACATGCAGAGCATAAGAAAAGTAATATTGTGAGTTCCTGACTCATTCTGGGGCCAGGTGGGAGTCTTCTATGTTCACTTTTTTATGTATAAATGGTCAAAGATGGTGGATGGAAACAAGAGGCAGATGTGACTGCCTGGTGCCAAACCTTCCGCTCTCACATGACACGCCCCTCTCATTTCTAGATTTCTAGTAACTCAGAATAGGAGACTACTGGATGATGGCTGAGGTAACTTCAATTATTTTGAGTGAAGAAAATCTGAAGAACTGTTAAGTTACTTTCGTCCCCCCCAAAGCCCTCTAAACTTATATGCATTTTACAGATCAGGAAATGAAGGCTCAGAGAGGCTATATCACTGAGGTATAGCCTATATCACTGAGGTATAGAGTCAGGATTCTAACAAAGATGCTTAACATCAAGGCTTGCACTTTCCCCCTATGTCATCTGCTTTCCCTACTGGAAGGAAGCAGGGCTGTAGTTGCACTAAGAAAAAAAATTAATTTAAAAACCATTTTTATTTAGCTTCAGAAAAGTCATGTTTTTCTACGAAAACAAATACTTCTTTTTGATATTCTTGGAGTTCATCACACTTCAAACACAACAATAAAGGCTCACAATGATTACCTGACCAAAGCAGGGGGCTATCCAGCTTTCCTTTTCCTCACTCCTTACCAGAAATCACAGATGGACAACACTGCCTCTTAGATCAGGACAGAACACTAAAATTCACACTGTTCTTGGATCTTAAATAGAAATTTAAATTACTCAAGGCTATGCTCATTCAAAAAGGGAAAATTTATGAATAAAAGCATAATATATAAAAAAAGGCAGAAGAATAATAAGCACCAACTTGGTTAAAGTCAGAGACCTGACAACCTAATGAGAAATCTTGTGAAAGTAGTAAATAAGTCAAATTATAAAGAGTATACCTTATAAAGGGTATAAAGTGGCAATAAAATTGTGTAGGGACAAATTTAGGGCTGTGAAAATTAGAAAAGCAATGTAATTTATAGGATTTAAAATACTTCTTCAAATTCTATAATCACATGAGGACAAATTATGAGACCAGAGAAAAATCTTGACCTTAGATGTATCGATCAGGAAAATACCAAGACTCTTATTCTTTCAACTATATATGTATATTACATTTTAAAAAATTAGGATAAACAGTTAACTAGAGTAATTCCTGGAAACGACAGAGATTAAAAGTAGAATATGAGATGATTACTTGAATATTTAGAAATATTGGTACAAAAATAATCCAAATAATCTAATTGATATCTTCCAAGAGTGAATGATAATTTACAATCAAGCCCAAAGTCCAGATGCTGGAGGGCAGAGTACAGATTATAGGAAGCTCTTTGGAAGAGAAATAAGCCACAGGTTCCTCTGTAGAAGAGCTCTTCTATATAACATCCCCTCACCCCATCCCACTACTTCCCTACCTTTTCAGTGACCTGTATGGTCTAAAATCATCTTAACTCAGACTTGGCCTTTAATTGCACATGGACAAATATGATTCAGCCTTAATACTATATAGATGATGCTCCACTACCCACTCAGATCCCCTTCACCAACACAGTGCCTCCTTCCCCCAGCTGCTGTGAGTGTTGGCTCCTAACGACCCACAGCTTCCCTCTTCTCTGGAGCGTTGCCCTGGCTGATGAAAGCCACCTGGCCTAGGGAATTACTTCCACCCTCACTGCCCCCCAACCCCGCCTCAAGAAGGAACAACTCAGCAGTACAATTATGCTCCAGGGGGTCCTCCCAAAGCCCCACCTCATGGATTAAGCCAAGGCTAGGTTTTACCCGAGACCATATCATTGCTTGATCTTTTCCCTTCCTAACCCTACCTCTCTCACTCCATCACAGAGTTCTCCTGAGGAGCATGCCCTCAGTAAACCACCTGCACTCAAATCTCCATCTCAGGCTCTTCTTCTAGCAAAACATACTGCTAGGCTAGTGAAGAAGCTAAGGAAAATTATATATTATATTATATAACCAAGAGTGTAAGGTTTTAAAAATGACATGGCAACTCTTACAATCCTATCAAGGTGGATTCCTCCAATGATTTAATCCTTATTGACCTAGGTAAAAGATATGAAATGATCCACATTAATTCTTCAGAGGTGGAGCTAAGACCCTCAAGACTAAAAAAAGATCAGCATAATGAGATTTATCAGAAACCCAGTCAAGGCCATTCAAGATCATATACTTAGGAGTCAGGCATAAACGGAGGATGAGGACATTTTGCTAAGGCCAAGGAAGGCTGGAAGATGGAATCACTGTGGCCATAAGTTGATTGAGTCAACAACTTAATACCACTGTGAAGGGGCAAACAAATAAAAATATATAGAGTGCAACAAATAAGAGTTGGGGCTGTGTGTGAATCTACCTTGTAAATTGACCAGATCTTCATTAGAGTACTTTATTTTTTTATCCCTGTACTTCAAATGAATGTGGAGAAACTGAAGCACATCCAGAGGAATGAGCTGTGATGACCGGAGAGATGGAACACAGATGGAATCAGAGGCAGTGAGATGCTTAGTTAAAACAAAGTCAAAGGGCAGTGTACTCATTACCTTCAAGAACAGGTGTGTTTTATGAGGATTCTGCTAAACAAATAAAATAAAATGGAATTAAATTAAAACTGGAAGTAGTTCATATGGACACAGAGAAGAAGTTTAATACCGTTTTAGTTTTCCAGTCTGCCTGCTGTAACAAAATACCATACACTGGATGGCTTAAACAACAGAAATTTATTTTCTCACAATTCTGGAGGCTGGAAGTCCAAGATCAAGGTGTTGGCAGGTTTGGTGTCATTTGAGGTCTATCTCTCCTTGGCTTGCAGTGGCTCCTTCCCACTGTGTCCTTATACGGTTGTCCCTCGATTTGTGTTATGGTCCAATCTCCGCTTCTCACAAGGACACCGTCATATTGGATTAGGGCTCAACCTAACAATCGCACGTTAACTTATTTACTTCTTTAAAGGCCCTATCTCAAATACAGTCACATTTTGGGGTACTGGGTGGGGCTGGGCTTCAACATAGAAATTGGGGGGACATAATTCAGGCCACAACAAATATCAGTATGAAAAGCTCAAGAACGACTTAAAAAATTACAGCACAGTCTCTGTTCCTCAAGACCTTAAAAGAAGGAAATAGAAGTAATCGACCCTAACTGATTTAGACGTTTACCTACTTTAAGGCAGGGGACTTGAGGAGATGATTTTTTTAAATCCACTTGAATGTAGTTTTTGCTTGACGCGGAAAATATTTAAGTGGGCTTACTTGGCTAATGATGTGGGGGGGGCGGGGCTGGGAGGGAGTTTCCTAGGAGGTCTCAGTGTACAGATGCATGGATACCTTTGGTGAATGCCAAGGTCCAAGATCTAGCCCTTGACCTTGTGGCCTCATAAACCTGACTTTATCATCATACAATGCATAGATTTACCTCTTGGGGTTAACTCTCATTAGCCAAGCTCATGAAACTGAGCAATAAAACCATAACAAAAATTAATGAGTAATTTAACTGTCACACAGACCAGATTAGACTAATGTACGTTTTTATTATAGCTAAGCTTCATAGGAATTTAATAAGATTGCTTGGTAAAGATGAAATCAGAAGGGTAGTTGGCTGTAACAAACTTGTTAATGAGAACAAGTTAATAGGCCTGATGTACATGCTGCCCATAGGGATGATTTTGCCAATAACATAATCAAAGCCCTTTTGGTCAGCTTCAAATCCACCCTTCAGTGCCCTGCCTGTGCTACACTTCTCCCTGGCCAGCTGACAACGATGTGAACTTTAACAGTAGGGGCTGAACAGACCCTGGAGGAGGAAGGGGCTTTTCTTCCTGGTGCTGGTGTGCTCTCTTTTTCCCTGCAATGTGTGGGGGACCCAGCAGTGCCAATCAGTTTCAGGGGCACCATCCCTGAGGGTGGCTTTGCAGCAAGTTCTGTGTCATGGCACCTCCCCATGGTGGGGGGGGGCGCTCCTGGCACCCCAGAGGGTAGCTTCTCAGTGAGTTCTGCCCCCTAGAACACACACTTTCCCCCCACCCATGAATGGCTTTCCTTCATACCCCAAAGAGCAGTTTCCCAGCAAATCTGCCAGCAAGCACTCAGGGAACATCTCCATCCAGTGGGCCATAGCTGTGTCCTCTCCAACAAGATCTGGATCTCAGTTCTGCCAAGGGAGGGGGAAGATGCAGCACCCTCTTGCAGATTTGTTCCTTTCTTGGGCGCTCTGCCTCAACCCTAGAGACTCCCTGTATGTGTTATTTCTGCATACTTTATGGGGGTTTTAAAAACTAATTAGTAAGTAATCCTCTGTCATAATTAATAATTCTTAACATTAAATTTTCCCTTTTCAAGTTACTATGTGGTTTCTCTTATTGATACATTATGCATCTCCATCTTAGGGACTGCCTTGTCAGTAGGACCATAATATTAAAAAACCAGAATACTGCTCTTTGAATATTATGGAGGTTATTAGAGAATTTTATTAGAGACCTTAATTCTTAACCCCAAATTAGAAATTATATTGGAATTTCAGGTTCTAGGCAGAGCCAATGGAAGAATATTTCTAGGCAAGGGGGCTTTTTTGCAGCACTTAATGACAGTCATAAGAGGCAGTTATTAAGAAAATGACCCATGCCACGGATTTAAGCCCTCACCTCCGCCCTCAACCCCCAATGGACTGTGGCGCCTCACCTCTCTCACAGTAACCCTGGGGCTCCTGAATCTCATTCTTGCCCTGGTTCTCCAAGGGCTCGAGCTGGATACTCAGCGACTTCAGTGCTCCCACAGAAGTCATTTCCTTCCAGATCATTCCTTGGCCATGAGCTGTGTCCTAGGAGTAATCAAGTACCAACACTATGATTCTGAGGACATACAAGAGGAAAACCCCTAGATTAACAGGGCAGGGCAGCCAGGATCAGAAACTCATTCAGATGATTAGATAGAAAACAACAAGACGAAAAGGTCTAGTGACTTGCCAGTGCACAAATAATAACCCAAAGGACAAAAATTTTATAATTCTCGGGGAGCCCAGTCAAGGCCACTCAGAATGGCTTCCTCATTAACTTACAGTCAGTAAAACAAGCAAATAAAACACCTACTTACCTGTTGCCTTGGTTCGTCAAGCTCTTTCTCCAGCTCCTCCAGCATCACCACGGCTTCCTCTCCACTCCCTGGTTGGTTCTCTCGAAGCCAGGTCTGCAGCTCCTCCGGCAGGATGCTCAGGAACTGCTCCAGCACCAGCAGCTCCAGGATCTGCTCCTTGCTATGCACCTCTGGCCTCAGCCACTGACAGCACAGCTCACGGAGCCGGCTCAGAGCCTCCCGGGGCCCCGCGGAGTCAGAGTAACCGAACTGTCTGAACCGCTGGCGGAAGGCCTCCTGACTATAGGCATTGCCCTGAAGGCCAAAGTCCTGCCCCCAAACATAATTTTCTTCTTCGACCTTCACAATTATGAGTCCTTCCTGCTCTTTTGGAGCATGGTAGACCAAGGCTGCCGACTTTCCTGCCATTCTGGGCAGATAGTCTGAAGAGGCTGCCTAGTTGAAGCGGGGAGGGGATGGACGTCTAGTATCTGAGAGATTCTGAATTCCAGTTCTCCAAAGAGCTCCTGAGGTGGACAATGCTAATATCACACAGGGAAAAAAATGTGTTTAGAATATAAATTCAGGTGTTTGAAAACCAGTTGCCACCAAGTGTAGCACTGTAAAGAAAACTGACTAAAAGGGAGCTTCCGTGTAAATAATACATTTATAGATGATTCAGGATTTTTCTCAGGATGTAAAACGGAAAAGTTAAAGTACCACCGAAATAAATTCAACTTTTGGTAACAATGTTAGAGACAACATTAGGGATAATAACTAATGCTTATAAATCATGGAAATCAGGAAAAATACTATAGTATATTATCAGCTCTCAGAATAATAACCACCATTTTACTGAGCACCTACTAGATGCCAAGCACTAGCTAGATACTTGACATAAATTTAATATAATTCCCCTAATAATTCTATAAGGATAATCATAATTATGCCCATTTTCCAAATGAGGCTACTGAGAATCACAAGGGGACCAAAGACACACAGCCAGTAAGCAGCAGAATGGCTCTCTGCAACCAGAGGACTTATTAGCTCTTTCTATTAAGCCATAGGGTCTCCCCAAAGAAGGGAATTTGCACTTAATAAACCTACTATGGGCCAGGCACTTTACAAATACAATTTTTTGACACTTGTAAATAACACTAATAGGTATGTATTATCAGCTCCACTTTACAGATGAGGAAACTGAGGTTCTTGAAAGTTAAGTAATTTGCCCAAGGCCCCAAACTGGTATATGGCAAAGTCAAGACATGAACCTAGAGTAGCCCAACTCTAAAGCACTTGTTTTTTTAAATTACAGAATGGGTTAATGCCCAGGACAATCTTGGTTGCTACTATAAATTAAGAATGAGGGTGGGGCTTCCCTGGTGGCGCAGTGGTTGAGAGTCCGCCTGCCGATGCAGGGGACACAGGTTCGTGCCCCGGTCTGGGAAGATCCCACATGCCGCGGAGCGGCTGGGCCCGTGAGCCATGGCCACTGAGCCTGCGCGTCCGGAGCCTGTGCTCCGCAACGGAAGAAGCCAAAAAAGGAAGAGGCCGAAAACCGAAAAAAAAAAAAAAAAAAGAAAGAAAAAAAAAGAATGAGGGTGAAGGACTTCCCTGGTGGCACAGTGGTTAAGAATCCACCTGCCAATACAGGAGACAGGTTCAAGCCCTGGTCCAGGAAGATCTCACATGCCGCGGAGCAACTAAGCCCGTGTGCCACAACTACTGAGCCTGCACCCTAGAGCCCATGTGCCACAACTACTGAAGCCTGTGCGCCTAGAGCCCGTGCTCTGCAACAAGAGAAGCCACTGCAATGAGAAACCCGCGCACTGTAACGAAGAGTAGCCCCCACTCGCCACAACTAGAAAAAGCCCACGCACAGCAACGAAGACCCAACGCAGCCAAAAATAAATAAATAAATATATAAAAATTTTTAAAATCTGCTTTCTAGGGCTTCCCTGGTGGCGCAGTGGTTGAGAGGCCGCCTGCCAATGCAGGGGACATGGGTTCGTGCCCCAGTCTGGGAAGATCCCACATGCCGCGGAGGGGCTAGGCCGGTGAGCCATGGCTGTTGAGCCTGCGCATCCGGAGCCTGTGCTCCGCAGCGGGAGAGGCCACAACAGTGAGAGGCCCGCGTACCACAAAAAAAAAAAAAAAAAAAAAAAAAAAATCTGCTTTCTAAAAAAAATAAAAATAAAAAAATAAGGGTGAAAATGTTAGGAAAAGGTCATGGAGAATGGCCAGGGTGAATGTACAAAAAAAGGAAGAATTTTTCTGTTTTGTTAAAATGTTTAGTTCTTTATTTATTAATTTTAATTTATTTACTTTATTTATTTTTGGCTGTGTTGGGTCTTCGTTGCTGTGCACGGGCTTTCTCTAGTTGCGGAGAGCAGGGGCTACTCTTCGTTGTGGTGTGCAGGTTTCTCATTGCAGTGGCTTCTCTCATTGCAGAGCATGGGCTCTAGGTGTGCAGGCTTCAGTAGTTGTGGCACATGGGCTTAATTGCTCCACCTGCATGTGGGAACTTCCCAGACCAGAGCTCAAACCTGTGACCACTGCATTGGCAGGCGGATTCTTAACCACTGTGCCACCAGGGAAGCCCGGAAGAATTTTTCCTGACTTTAAGTCACAAGGTTCTGAGACAGCACAAAGGAAAGAGGAATGGATTCCTTCATCCACTATCTCAACAATATTTGAGCTATGTGCTAGGCAGTGTACTGAACAGGACTCTCAGGATTCAGAGGTCTGTCTTCAAGGACTCCTAGTTTAATAAGGGAAAGTGACAGGGAAACAGGCAAACACAGTGCAATACATCCAAGGATGGAGGGAAGCAGACAAGGTAGCCCGGTAAGATGACTAAGACCAGGAAGAACTGACTGCCTGGGGGAACCATCTCAGCAGAGTCTGGTATGAGTGAGCTGGGTGGAGCTGTAGAGGGAGGTCATTCAGGCAAGGAGCAGTAGGTATGAGAGGATGTGGCCCACTGAGGAAACTGCAGGTGATTCAGAAAGGCCAGGCTCATGGCTATGGCTCAGAAACAGCCATGCATGGCCCTCAGACTTGTTGAATCAGAATCTCCATGGGTGGGGCTTCAATAAGTGCCACAAATGCTTCCGATGTGCAGCCAGGGTAAAAACCCTGGGCCAGAGCCTTGGCAGAGTTAAGGAATAATGAGAGGAGGAACCTAAACACAGAGAAACTTGGGGACATTTTTCTGCTTAACTTTGTAGTATTTGGAAAATACTAAATACATTTCTTTAGTTCTTATTACAACAATTGACATTTAAGAAATCCCATGATGATGCATTGTCAGATCTATGCATCAGTATAAATACTATGCCTCAGCAACTTGTCCTCCATTGGTGGGCTGAGGAATTATAGGTGTTCCTTCTCCATCTCCTTCGCAAGTCCATCCTCCTTTACATCAGAGGTCCACAGGTTAGCCCTTAGTCCACCACTGTTCTCATGCTCTCCCAGGCAATCTCATCCTTACCCTCGGTTACCATCGATCTCTAGTCTGGACCTCTCATCTGAGCTCCAGCCCTATTTATCCATTGTGACTCACATCCATCACAACTCTTTTTCTTTTTGTTAAAATTTATTTATTTATTTATTTATTGGCTGCGTTGGGTCTCTGTTGCTGCGCGCGGGCTTTCTCTAGTTGCAGCAAGTGGGGGCTACTCTTCGTTGCGGTGCACGAGCTACTCATTGCAGTGGCTTCTCTTGTTGCGAAGCATGGGCTCTAGGCGTGCGGGCTTCAGCAGTTCTGGCTCACAGGTTCTAGAGCTCAGGCTCAGTAGTCGTGGCACATGGGCTTAGTTGCTCTGTGGCATGTGGGATCTTCCTGGACCAGGGCTTGAACCCGTGTCCCCTGCATTGGCAGGCGGATTCTTAACCACTGTGCCACCATGGAAGCCTCATCATAACTCTTTTTGAATTTCTCAAAAGGACCTCAAACTCAGCACATCCATGATCAACTGATGATTCCTCCCACCCCAACCTGCTCCTCTCCCAGTGATTCCCCTCTCGGAAGTAGGAACAACAATACGGCTGCACTGCCAGAAACCTGGAAGCATTCCTAATACCTCCTTCCTGTATTTAATGCAAATTAAGTCCTATTGATTTTATTTCCTATTTCCAGAATCTGCTCTTTCCCATCTCTGCCACCACCTTCTTCATTCCAGCAACTATCCTTCCTGTTACACTGTACAATAACCCACAGTCTATTTATAGTGTAACCACAGTGACTTCTTCAAATTGCAAATCTCATCCTGTTCCTCTGACTAGTTTTAAAAAAGCAAAAACAAAAACAAAAACAATAGATAACCAACAAGGACCTACTGTATAGCACAGGGAACTCTGCTCCATATTCTATAATAACCTAATGGGAAAAGCATTTGAAAAAGAATAGATACAGGGGAGGAGGAACCAAGACGGTGGAGTAGAAGGACGTGCTCTCACTCCCTCTTGTGAGAACACCAGAATCACAACTAGCTGCTGGACAATCATCGACAGGAAGACACTGGAACTCACCAAAAAAGATACCCCACATCCAAAGACAACGGAGAAGCCACAGTGAGACGGTAGGAGGGGTGCAATCACAGTAAAATCAAATCCCATAACTGGTGGGTGGGTGACTCACAGACTGGCAAACACTTATACCACAGAAGTCCACCCACTAGAGTTAAGGTTCTGAGTCCCACGTCAGGCTTCCCAACTGGGGGTCCGGCAACGGGAGCAGGAATTCCTAGAGAATCAGACTTTGAACACTAGTGAGAATTGATTGCAGGACTTCGACAGGACTGGGGAAACAGAGACTCCACTCTTGGAGGGTACACATAAAGTAGTGTGCACATCGGGACCCAGGGGAAGGAGCAGTGACCCCAGGGGAGAGTGACCCAGACCTACCTGCTAGTGTTGGAAGGTCTCCTGCAGAGGCGGGGGGTGGCTCTGTTTCACCGTGGGGACAAGGACACTGGCAGCAGAAGTTCTGGGAAGGACAACTTGGTGTCAGCCCTCCCAGAGTCTGTCATTAGCCCCACCAAAGAGCCCACTTACGCTCCAGTTTTGGGTTGCCTCAGGCCAAACAACCAACAGGGAGGGAACCCAGCCCCACCCATCAACAGTCAAGTGGATTAAAGTTTTACTGAGCTCTGCCTACCAGAGCAACAGTCAGCTCTACCCATCACAAGTCCCTCCCATCAAGCCTCTTAGATAGCTCATCCACCAGAGGGCAGACAGCAGAAGCAAGAAGAACTACAATCCTGCACCTGTGGATCAAAAACCACATTCACAGAAAGATAGACAAGATGAAAAGGCAGAGGGCTATATACCAGATGAAGGAACAAGATAAAACCCCAGAAAAACAACTAAATGAAGTGGAGATAGGCAACCTACCAGAAAAACAATTCAGAATAATGATAGTGAAGATGATCTAGGACCTCGGAAAAATAATGCAGGCAAAGATCGAGAAGATGCAAGAAATATTTAACAAAGACCTAGAAGAATTAAAGAACAAACAGAGATGAACAATACAATAACTGAAATGAAAACTACACTAGAAGGAATCAATAGCAGAATA